CTTCCAATCTATCTCTGGTCTTAAGAATAATAAGAGTGTCATAGGTGCTAGTTTTTAATGCGTTAAGTAGGAATAATTCTTTGTCAAAACATATCCCATTACATTTATAATCTAATCTCCAAATCCCGGTGTAAGCTTCGCCCCGCCTGCATTTTGCAAGTAGTCCATCAATGGTTTCCATTCCTTAAGGTAACGGCGAACTCATTCTTGATACGTACCTTGACCTTTTGCAGCCGAAGAAGCAATGTGTTTCCTCCACTTCCATTTGTATAATGGAAATGCAGGATTGCTGTATTCAAAGGGGTATCCTCATATCTCTGATGAAATGTTGGTTGTGAAATGTACAGCTGCAAATGTAAGAGCTGTGTCTTGTGAGAGTCCAGAGGGAGACTGAACTAGCTTTTAATAATTACAGCAAGCAGCCAGGTTCACTAAACCATTATGTGCTGTGTTGGGTTTTGAGTCAGGGTGTCATGTAATCCCAGCTGTTATAGTTTATAAATCATGGCTTAGGTCTTAGCTTGTTGTACAAACCTAGTCAATTGTGGCTTACTCAATAACCCAGTTTAGTAAACATGACTTAGCACACTGCTTGAACCCAGGTAATTTTAACACAGCATCGCCCTCCTCCCCTCTGGATGTAATTACTACTATACGAATATGAGATGTAGCTAGTGATTTTTTTTTTCTGCTAGCTTTTAGGTTTAGCATTTTCATATTGTTCAGTGAATCATATAATGACATAGCAATAGCACTAACTAATTAAAATTATCTCCCATATATTATGATTTCAGGAACACTTCTCCAGACCTTGGAAGGTAGATTAGTATTTTGTTCCTCCAGATTGTAGGAAACAATTGCTTAGGAAATTTACATGCTTAATTTGACTTAGCTACAGAATTGCCAGATAATCCAGAGCTAACAATGTGGTACTGATTCAGCTTTAAAATGGGATCTTTGCCTAGCAAAAGTATAATGCTGCTCGGCCAGTCATGGTGCAAGGGCTACAATCTTGCCTTCCAAATTGCTTTTGAGAAGTTCTGCTTCAAGATTCAGGTCCTCTTTGATGCAGCTTTGGATTTGCTTGGCAAGGGCTTTTCACAGACGTAAAAGCTGTCAGATGTGCAGATGAAATCGTTCCATTCCCCACTAATCCAAACTTGGGCACAGTCCTCTTCACGACCCTGGTAAGTGTTGGGTTCCCCTACCTTCCAGTTCCTGAGATGGAAGCAAGAGACAGTGCATGTATTTACCTCCAATAATCAAGAATAATCTAGAATTCAGTAAATTTATTTCTGGAGCCATCAAGCTATTGTTTCCTAAACATTTTACAGATCTCTTTCTAAATGAAAGTGGAAACTCCTCATCAGGTTCATAGCCAAATGGATTTACTAAATGGTGTAGACCTATATATCCTTGCTTGAAAATAGATGGTTTTATGTGGCTTATTCTAGGTCATGTGACTATAAGATTACAGGTCTAAAGGATATAAGAGTCAAAAGTATATTACCATCAGAGGGACATTATGTTGCTATGAATGGTTGCTGGTTGAGTTCATATATCCTGTTAAGCCAACATAAAATCATATTATGGCTTGGTATGATGTTTGAAGCCAGCCTTTGACTTATTCTGCCTGCCCGAATTTCAAAGGCATAGGAAAATCTGGAGCTGAAGGCAAGTTTCTGCTTCATGATGGGTGAGCAAGCAGTAGCCATTGAGTTACTGGTGAACTATAGTTCCCAATATATCCCTCAACCTAGACAGTGCTGGCTGGGCAGCTGGGAGTTGAAGTTCAGCAACAGTTCCCCAACTCTGCTATAAAAAAAATATTTACTCACTTAAAGCCAGTTCTGTAATTACTGCCATCCACCCATTTCCATTCTCCTTCTGTATGTTGGTCATGGAGACCGATCCAAAAGCGTTCATTCCTGGTCCGAGTCTGTATGAAATTCTGCAAGAGAAAAATCCAAGAAATATGAATAAGGGCATTTGGACTGCGGTATGTAAGGATAAAAATGCTGGAGAGTGTTTCCTTTGCAACCATAAAACAGAAAAAAGGAGAAACATTGGGATTGAATTACTTCTCACAAACTCTAGAAGTGAATGCCATCTGGACCAGGGCAGCTAAGCTGCCCAAGATAAAAGACAAATGATATCTGGGCTTTATTCATGCTTGCTATGTCCTGGGAAGCAACTTTCCACCAAGGCTGTAGATGTCCCACTTACCTGTTTTGCAAGACTATCAATGATGACCAACTGTGACTGTTTGCGTTCGCAGTCTGCCTTGGCTTCGTACCAGGGAATTGACTTCAGGGAGAAGAAGTAACATTTTCCACCAAAATATTCCCATTGTCTAGTGTCAGCTCCACATGGGAACACTGATCAACAGGAGGGAAAAAAAGAGTCAAGAGCTGATACCAGCTTGGCTTGTCAGTTCATGCTAGATCAAGAAGTGCTGCTTGAAGACTGTTCTGAAGATTAGGGCTGACAAAGCAAGCTGCATGGACAAAACTGGACATGTCCTGCAGACAGCATGTACTAAAGTAGTACTGTCTCTTGACTTGCAGCAGAATTGCCAAAAAAGAACTTGGAGCAGAGTTGGCCCATGAAATAGAGACCAGAAAGCCAATCCCTGCAAAGGGAAATAGAGAAACTTACAGTGGAAGTCACGGCCAAAAGGATCCTTTGAAAAATTGAGTGTCAGCTTGTTGAGTTCAGATGAAATTGTTGAGACTAGGATTATAAAGGAAGGGAAAGAAATGTATATTAGAATCTTCCATCTTTCTGTGATCTGCAATTTCACTCTACATTTTAAGAGCAGAACTGTAATAAGAAGAGGAAGGCAGATGAAGCCCATCTCAGAGGCTGCTCTTGTAGGATTGTTCTCTTCTGACCACTACAGAATTGTTGCTACTAATGGCCCTTTGAAGTATTCCAGGAGGAGAAGGCAAGTAGACAAAGCCCTCCTCAAAGTTTGCTCCAGCTGGATTGCCCAACACGGTTGGGGCAATGGTCTCAACAGTTCTTTGGGAACAATCCCCAAAGTTTTACTTTATTATGATTTTATTAATGATATTGGTGTGTCTTATAAGCTGTTCTGATATGAATTTTTTGCTGAAAGGTGGCATTTACCCACAATAATAAATAAGAGTAGATTTGCTAAGCGACTAAGGGTAGAATCCAGCACTGTGTTGTACAATGCTCATTACCATTCTGCAATAGATGCTGTATGCAAATGTTCTAGCAAAGAGCAGAGGGACTGAGATTGGAGAGTGAGAAGGAAGTGTCATTGTGCCAGCGGAACTCAGTTTTCATATTATAAAATTCTATGCAAAGAACTTCTACAAAAAACTAAACAAGAAACAGCCTTTGGCAGATTTTGAGTTGATAGCTGAAGTCTTGAGACTTAAACTGAATTTTCATCGTCATCATCATCATCATCATCATCATCATCATCATCATCATCATCCCTAAATGTGCAGGATTAAAGCTGTACTTACATTGTGGATATGTACTAGGTACCAACTTTTTCATATAACCCTGACTTCTTAATCTGCCTGTGCTGGCTAGAGCAACTGGGAATTAAACTCCAACACAACTGGAAGGCACTAGATTGAGGAAGACTGATCTAACCTTAGCCAAAAACAGTAGATTCCATGTATGAGCTTCCCCAAGAAGCATGTCATCATTCCCATCTCAGTATCAGAGAGACCTATAGAGCTTATTAAGCCAGGATGGCTCTTATTAAGAAGGCTTCCTGAGATCTGTTGGACTACAATTCCCAATATACCTAGATTGAGTTGGTTAGGAGTGATGGGAGTAGGGAATATCACACAGCTGGAGGGTACTGTGTTGGGAAAGGCTGTTCTAGCTCAATGCTGCAAATTTATCCAGTGCTCCACTTACACACAATTTACTACTAAGATCCTCCATCTTGCTTTAGAGTCAATATCCTTCTGGCCATTTGAGCTGGAAGCAAAGGAAAAATTTGCTCTGAGTTTTTCAGCTTCCCTTAAGAAGCTCCCTCTTTTATAGATGAAATACTGGAATACAAAAGGAAAACATACCTTTGGAGAGGGCCACCACAAAGCCAATGAGAATTAGCAAATAAGAGATACCCAGTAGTGCGTATATTGGAAAGAATGATCTCTGGATCAGGCTTCTTCCTCCTTTACATGAAAGGAAAGAATGAAAATGTAGAAATGTTATCCAATTATTGGCTAGGAAGTTCTGTGGATGCTCCCTAGCAAAAAACTATGTGCTCTCTGTCACCTTGTATTTCTTTCAGCAATTTGGGGAATGAAGCTGTCATTAATAAATGATTCATAGACCTTTTTTTGTAGGGGTACTGGATTCTATTCAGGTCTTCTCACTTGTTTTTAGAGTGGGCAACCTTTTTAGGTCAAGAGGCTTATTTTTAAGAGTTTGCTGGGAATTGAATTCCAAACCTCAGTGTGCAGGAAAAAACAACTGGAAAATAAGTGTGAGTTAATATATGTGTATGTCCTTGATTATTTTTTTAATCATCATCAATCAATCAAGATAAGTGTTATACTTAAACCCTTCCCAGAAAAGCCACCATTATTAAAACAGCATTTTCCCAGCACATTTTGGCAGCAAAATGAAGAAGAAGGATATCATGGAGGGATCCGAAAAGCCTGTGTTACCCAACCCTGCTTTAAAGAAAAGTTTCTGTCTGAATTACCTTCTTCCTTCCTTTTTCCTTTTTTGTCTTTTGATTTGCATCTAGTTGCTATTGTGTGAATCTGAAAGTTCTAAGAGAATGCCTCCTATCTTGCCTTCAGGAGCTTAAGGCAATGTTTTTCATTTCCCCCCCACAATAACAAGCATATGAGTAGGTTGGGCTGAGAGAGATGACTGCCCCAGAATTGCCCAATGAATTTCTGTGGCTGAGGATGAACTTGTAGGTATTTTCTCTTTATTTATTTCTTGGGAGCTGATATATAATTAAAAAGCCATTTTGATTTATAATATTATTATAAATAAATACAAAATAATTTTAAAGCTGCCCTCCCCCAAGATCATTAATTTATAGAGGGAAATTTAAAAATATTTTTGCAAATCATGCTTCATATATTAAATCATTTGAGGATTTTAAAATAAAGTTTGATTTTGTTTACCTCCTGTGAGATTGATTCATCTCCTAAGGTAGGCGGGGGGAGGAGGAAGGGCTAAAATCCCTAGTCATATGCTGTATAGGCTACAAGACCAGGACATTGCATTATAGAAATTACTTCATCATACTTCTTATTTGCCAGAAGAGCAGGTTCTGCAAACCTTCTCTCTCACAGACTGAAGTTAGGGGAAAGATGCCAAGTGAGGCACCGCCTAGAAGATGGGTGGTAGTGGCATTAATAATGAAGGGGCTAAATGTGTGTGTGTGTGTGTGTGTGTAACATTTTTCCTCTTTTTTTCTCCTTTTTCCATTTTTTAAAATGATCATTGTTCTGCACCTGAGCTGGTACAAATAAATAGAAAAAAGAAGAAAAAGAAAGAAAAACTGCCTAAGTTCTTTTTAACAGAGAGAATAAAGTATTGTCACACAAGAAATTATTTTTATTTTTGGCTCCCAAGTTCAATGAGATAGCTAGATTAATGTTAGTGGGCAAAGCTCTCCTGTATGCTATTAAGAAGTGGGAAGACAACCTTGCCAGTTTAATCAGCAGAAGATATCTTGAAGAGCAACATGTCAGTTTCCAAGAGTGCCAGAGATGAGGTGACTAATGGAAACAATCAACCCACTTGAACTGTGGACTATATCTGTACATCTAGGCTGAGCTGTCACAAGTACCAGCCACCAACTCTTTCTGGGAGGCAGAAATAGATTTCATCTTCTACTTGCCTCCAGCCCATCATGAATACAACCCATATTTTCCTGGTCTGAATTGAAAGAAGTATTTTCTGAATTGTGCCAGCTCAAGTGCTGTGGTCTGGTTTATCTGCTGCACTTACTTTCTTCTAGGCAAACCCTTGCACTTTGATTGACAGTAGTGCAGAGGCAGGAATGTTCTATTATATGATTTGCTCAGCATTCCCTCAATAAGGCTTACCACAGCTTCTATTACAGGTCTTTCTCATCATGTAATAGTTATAGCTTATAATACTTGCTTGACAGGCAAAATATCCCTGGTTCAAAACCTTGCAGAATTTTTTTAGTTACTGTTTTTCTTTTCCTGAGCTACCGACTTTTCTTTGTGCTTTTTTTAAAAATGAGTCCACCAGTGCACCATTTCATTGTTATTTCAATCATTTGAGGTAGAAAGGTTTTATCCCAGCTCCCAAATAGCCCAAATGGTGGACTTGTATTTTTCTTAAAGCAGTAAAGTGAGTAGGTCAGGGAAAGAAAAATAGTTTTATTTTTTTTTAAATAGCCAAATTTCAAACCAGTGAAGTTCTGCATATCAGGTCGCTGTAATAGCCACTATATTAGGAAGAAAGACCTTTAACAGAAGTTGTAGTAAATCTTATTAGGGAAAAGGTAGGATAATGCAAGAAAATAATTTGTATTTTAGAACTGATTGTTATGTCTTCATATATAATGTGCATATTGATGCTTTAACTTTAAGTTATATACATACAAATATAAAATTATGTGGGTGTGGTAAGATCTGCCCACAGAAAGAAAGTGGCTGGCAATTACTTTCCTGGCACAGAAAGTTGGGAAGACAGAGGATCAGGTGAATTGTCTATGGGGACTGTGGTAATCTATAGTTTGCATACCTAGCAATTTGCTGACAAAGCATCCCAATCTAGACATCATTTTCTTAAGCCATTTTAGAGTCTCGCTGGCATCAAGTCAGGATAGGAACAGCTTAAGGGATATTCAGTGTGTGTCTGTCTGAGAGAGATTGTATGTGCATGTATTTATGTGTTTAAAGAACTTTCTGCAGAACTTTATAACAAGTTCTTTTTGCAGTACTATCCTGAAAGGTAAGCCAGTTTGGTGCAGTGGTTAAAGTGCCAGGCTAGAAACTGGGAGACCCTGAGTTCTGGTCCTGCCTTAGGCATGAAGCCAACTGGGGGACCTCGGGCCAGTCACCCTCTCTCAGTCCTGGGAAGCAGGCAAGGGCAAACCACTTGCCAAGAAAACTGCAGGGACTAGTCCAGGCAGTCGCCAAGTGTGAAAACTGGCTCAAAGGCACACCTACACATACACAAACCATCCTGAAAGGTAAACTAAAATGAAGGCCATCTTTCCATGACAAAACATAAAGGACACAGTCCAAAAGGTCAGCTTCCCATTCAGCTCTGCTGAATCTTGCAGCGATCTGGAAATGTGCGTAAAGCCGCAACTTAATCAGTCCCATTTGTCCTAATGGGAAATGAATAAATGTCTTCTTAACTCTCCCACTGGAATCTACATAGTGGGAGAAATGGGCTTCACTGTACAGTAGTACATGTTTAGCTAGCTAACTTTTTGGGGGGTGGGGAGTGACTAATCTACAAGCAAAGTCTTTCAAACAATTAGCAATTGCCTGAATGCCTTTTAAAAACCAAATAATAGTCATGCTTTTCCCATTCAAGGGATATGGTGGTTAATCATGGGGCTTTAGCCTTTACTTCCACTGCCTCCACCAGATCACGTATTTGGCTGTTATCTACACTGGAAGAACTCTTTGTAGGCCTGAATGAAGTCTTTTTGGTCAATGTAAATATGTGGCACAGAACCCTTGATCTGCATCGGGGCCACATCATTTATCATTTGTTTATTAAAGATATTTCTATGCTGCCGCAATAAAAAAAGATGCTTGGCAGCTAACAGAACAATTATAAGTCAAAACATGCGCAGTAATAATAAAACAGCTATTAAAACAATAGTTAAGTTGAAACCGTACCATATAAGCTACAAATGAGATAAATAAAAATAGAGATGGCAACAGGGGAAGGCTCTCTGAAACACTTTGGACTTCAAGGGCTTCTGAAACACCACCAGAAGGAGTCAGTCTGATCTCTATGGGGAGGCTGTTCCTCAGTGTCAGCCCCACTAGGTAAACCAGACTCCACAGGCTACTTTTATTAAGATTGGCTAT